TCACCCACAGGCAGAGGCAGCCACTGCTCCTCTCCCCAAGGCAAGGAGGGACCGAACAGCTGCGTGGCCTCAAACACGGTCCCGTTTATGAACTACACTGCCATCAGCATCTCCCAGCTTACACAGCTGCATCCACATCCAGCGCAGCAGCTGGGAGCAGCTTTGCAGAGCAGGACCTGGGGCTCCTAGTGGACCAGGAGTCAAATGTGGGGCAGCGACACACCCTTGTGTCAAAGGGATCCCGTGAGGCACTAGGCAGAGCACTGCCAGCAGGCTGATCCTTCACCTCTGCTCGACACGGTGAGGTCACATGAGGAGCCCTGTGTCCAGGATTGGGGTCCCCAGCACAAGAAGGATACGGACTAGAGTGAGTCTAGCAAAGGGCCTCAAAGATGGCTGAGGGGTCAGAGCATCCATCACACACGGGGAGGCTGAGGGAGCTCAGACTGTTCAGCCTGGAGAAGAAAAGGCCTAGGGGTTCTTATCCAGGTGCACAAATATCTGATGGGAGAATGCAATGAAGACAGAGACTTCTCAGCAGTGCCCAGTGACAGGACAAGGTGCAACAGGCACAAACTGAAACACAGGAAATTACATCTGAGCACAAGAAAATAAAACCTTCACAGTAAGGGTGCTTGAATACTGGAAGAGATTGCCCAGAGAGGTTGTGGAGCCTCTATCCTTGGAGATGTTGAAAAACTAACTGGACATGGCCCTGGGAAACCTGATCTACCTGACCCCATTGGACTAGACGATCTCCAGGGATCCCTGCCAACCCCAGTAACTCTCTAATTCTGCAGTTTTGTTCTCACACATAGTACAACTTGGGGGTAGGCAAAGTTTCACCAACAAAATTTTTAGAAGAGCAGAGCATGTGTGTATTGGGGAGGTTTAGAGCTGTGCCAGACTGAAGAGGCTGAGGACAAAGGCAGTGCTTTAAAGCTGTGCACAGCAGATGCCATTTCCAGGCAATCAAGTGTTTTCAGTGCAGGGAGCATCAAGCAAACAGCCCCTTGATAGCGTGTGATTCCCATCACAGGACACGGCTGCTGAAAGATGGGGACACGGAGCTGGCAAACACAGCTGATGTGAGGGCATGAGGAAGAGCTGCTGGCAGGGGGCTGCTGCCAAGAGCGGGTCAGGTGCCCCCGGCCGAGGGGGAGGCGGCGTTACCGTGCTGCGCGATGTCACCCAGGATGTCCGCAGCCATCTGCCCAGCAGCGGCGCCCGTCCCCGAGCCGCCCTGCTCCTCCACGAGCACGATCTGGATGACAGGAGCGGAGCTGCGCAGTGCCATCCCCAGGAAGGGCTGTGCTTCGTGCACCTTGGATATCGCCATCTGAACTCCAGCGTACTGGGGCTTTTCAAAACACAAAAGGACATGGAAAGGGAGCAGCAGGCATATATTAGAGTGCATCCATAGACAGCCATGATGGATGTACCAATAGACCCATCTATAAATCTTCAGGTGAAACCCATCACAGAGCTGCCCTTCCTATTATTGCCCTGCCATTGGGTTTCCCACATAATAGGTTCATATCTCCCTGGGAAGCTGCGTTGGGTGTTCCTGGTGCAGAGCATCCTCCCAGCAGAGGCAAGAGCACCAGGAACACTCTCCTGCTGATCCCTGCGGGAGCTGGCAGGTCGCACAGCCCCTATCAGCCAATCTCCCTGCCTGACCTGCAGCCAAGGGAGCAATTTAATGTAGCACACCCCTTAAACCACATAGTAACATGTGCACGGTCATAAAGAGGGCAGGAAGCTTCCAGCTCCGAGTCGATAGAGCAATACTCTGCTATTGATCCTGCTGGTGGGAGCCCCGGGCAGGGCCTGACCCCCATTGGCTCCTGGCACGTGGTGTCTCCTGGAGCTGTAGCGGGGAGCAGGGAGCAGCGCTGGCACCACTGCCGGAGCGCAGGGCTCAGCATCCCGCACGCCGGGGACAATGCACGTGGCCACATGGTCCCTGCCACCACCAGCTTCCCTGCAAGCCGCTGGCCGATGCTGCTGGTGGCCTCCCCACAGCCCACCTGGCTAGCTGACATACCAGGCTCAGGAAGGTTTGGACGAGCCTGTCCCGATACTGCTGCAGGTCGAAGTCGGGAGTGAACTCCAGGTAAACCATGGCTCCTGCAGCCCAAAAAGAGAGAGATGAGACAGAGCACAGGGTCGCCGAGCCGGGACTGGCCAGAGAGCTGCTGCGGACTCGAATCACAGCACAGATAACCACCAACAGCACATAGGGCTCTCCGTGAGATGGGATCTCACTGCAGTGCTAAGGAGCAGAGTGCTCATGTCTGAGCAAAGACCCCAGGAGGAACTGCTCCCTCTCGCTGCTCTTTTTATTGACTGCTTTCAGTTAAAAGCTTTTCTTTCCATCCGATTCCAGAGAGAAGCCTTTTGTTAGAGGCTTTTTCCTGCATATTCCTGTGGGAAGCTCTATGTTTACCTGGTTTCAAGGCTGCAAGGCTGTGATTCAACAGTGCTGCTATTTCTTTGGATGTAAAGCACAGAGGAGGGGATACTCACATTCCCTGTATCGCTGCACTGCTTTCATTGACTTAAGCATTTCCCTTGAAAAAATGCAAGTAAATGTTTATTGAAACAGGAAGTTCTCCTAATGACTTCTAAAGGCTCTGCTTTTACGGGTACATCTGAGAAACACATAGTGCCAGTTTAGTGAATTTGGTCTGATAGTTAAACCATGCAAGGAAAAACTCCATTTAACCTCCGAGGTAGATTAATGCATAAGCACACATATGCAGAGAGAATACTGTCAATCTGCTGTTTACAGTTTATTTTAAATATGTATGCTATTTCAAACGAAATAAATTTGCTGTTGGAAAGATGACATTACCGTGAGAAAAGCATATTTTCTTTGAGTGTTTCCCATCACATAAACTCTTCAGCGTCCTATTAGCTTGATGAGTTTTGACACACTGATAGGTTAAACCAGCGGCAGGGACGAAGAGCTGCAGCTCCAAAGCCACCGTGATGCTCCAGACATACGCAGCTGGGTGAGTGCTGCGGGAGCTGAGCATGGGGAACAGACAGGACCTGGGGACAGCGCTTGGCCCAGGCTCTCCAAGACCCAGCTGGGTGAGAGGTGTCCTTGGGAAGCGCAAATCCTCAAGCTCCTCAAGCAATGATGGAGGCTGCAGCAGTGCTACTGCCCCTACCCATGTCCTCTGCTCCCTCCGTTTTCCCAGCTGTAAAAGGGGAGGTGCGAGCGGCTGGCGGCTTCAGTGAGCTCAGCACAGGACTCCCCCATGCTGGCGGTTTGCCCCTGGTGACAGGCACGAGCGCACCCAGTCTGGTCCCTGCAGCTGGGGACTCATTTACAGGAGTCACCGCTTTGCTTTGCTCCCACTTGTGAAGCAAGTGGCCAGGAAGAATCATGCAGAGAAGCGAGGGGCAGGAGGGCAGTGCCTCGGCACAGGAGCTGCAGCAGGGTAGGGGCCCAGGGCGCCACACTCACCACAGACCTCGCAGCAGTGGCCGAGGGGCCGCAGTGGGCTCGGACACGCCGCCTCAGGGCACCGTCTCCCCGCACAGATGCGGTGGCCATTCTGGAGCAGAGCAGGGTGGCCTCAGCGCCGTCCGCCCCACGAGTCGCCCTCACGCCAGGCTCCCCCGGCGCACGTGGCCGTGGGCCTGGCGTCTTGCAGCCGCCTCTGCAGCCCCGGCACCCCAGCTGGTCATGGGGACTCACCTGGGCGTTCCCGCAGACACAGCCGGACTTGTCCGGACACGCGGTGCCCGTCACCTGGAAGGTGCTGTTGCCGTGGAACTGGAGCAGCGCCGAGGGGCCCTGCAGGTACTGGGCCAACGCAGCGGTGCTGGTGAACGTCTGCCAGGGAGGAGAGCAACGGCGCCCATGAGAAGGTGGATTTGGGGTAAGAGCTGTGGCACACCAGCACCTATATCCCTAGCAGAGCAGCACTGGGCGGCCAAGGCAAAAGGGAGACTCCAGCTGCCCGGAACAGCCTGCAATCACCCATGGTCCTGCCCACCCCAGCCAGCTCCGTGCCACCACGGTGCTGGCACAGGCTTGGTGCCTCAGGAGAACCTCCATGTGAGGCCAAAAATAGCTTTTCCCTGCCCCGGTGAGGAGCCCAGCGCTGCAGGGGTGACCCTGCCGGGTTCCTGCTCCCCGTGACCTACTTCGGGGCTGCGCGAGGAGGTGTGAGGCGAGCACGCTGCCGGGTTTCTCAGCCGCCCCGCGTTACCTGACCCATGAGAGAGACGCTCCGGAGATGAATCACGCCACGCGATGAGTCGACGTTTACCCGGAAGGAGGTTTCGGGCTCAAAGATAACATCGTCGTACCGGCACGGGACGCGCTCCTCATCCACTGCAAAGAGGCGCCCGCCCTGCTGCAGGGGCTGCCACAGCGCCGGGTTGAACCAGGAGAGCCCCTCAGCGTCCCCGAACCGGGCGGCTGAGCCTGCTGAGAGCAGCAAGAGGGACTGAGAGTGGCCCGGGCTCGGCAGCATGGCACAACGCCCTCCTCGCCACACTGCTGCCCCAACAAACGGATATCTAGCGATTAATTCCGATTTTTAACAGTATCTTACAGTCTTTCATCAACTACCTTCTTTATGTTTTTGTTTATTTATTTAGTTATTTATAATCTATCTGTGAAAGCTGACCATTGATTCCACAGGGGCATCCAAGGGTCAGAAGCTAAAACCTTATGCAAAAGTGAGAGGGTTCCCCAAGAGCATCCAAAAGAGCTCATACAGCTTCAGTGGGGAAAAATGCCAGTGATGGAGGGTTTGGGGAGTGACCCTGAACAGCCAGAGGCCTCAGTCTGTCTTCTGCACGGACCTGCTGGTGTCTTTACTCTCTGCGTGCTGCCCCATCCAACTTCCCGGGTGTTTTTCCCAGAGTCGCAGAGACAACCCGTGTTTATCACCCTTGTGGTTCAAAGAGGCCCATCAGAGCCCCATGGCTCACGCCGTTTGCATCCTCTTTGATCCTGCTTGTTTTTCTGCAGCTGAGCTAAAAAGTCGCTTGCCATTGAAAGTGTTATTTATCTCTTAAATACCAAAAATTCCTCTCCCCAGCAAACAGCTTTCAGGCTAATAACAGGCACTGATAAAACAAAACTGCTACCTCAGTCATGGCAAATCTCAGTTTGAGACTAACAGGACATTGAATGATGTGTTAGTGCTGAAATGCCTTTATGCAAATACTCGCTGGGCCAAAGGCCAACTCTCTGAAACGGCTGTGGTTCAGCTCTCCGAGGCCTCAGTGTGTAATTCATAACCAGTTTTCTTTAGAAATAAGATGGCAAAGAAAATGAGAACTTTGATGTGGCTACATGCTTAATAGACAGGGTGAAATACAAACAATATTTACCTCTCTGCCACGACTTCAAAGACTTCCCTGGTATAATTATTTTTTTAGAGGACAGGTGATCTAGCAGAACAAAAAAATCTGGTGTGGAGAGGGCCATCAAAGAGAAGGTAGATATTAAAAGAGGAGTGATTCACTTTATTCTGAGGTGGGATTGCAAAGACCTTTGTAGAAGTGCTTGTGCTGAATTTGCAAGATTAAGGGCTGATTGGGTGACTAGCCGGGGCACAAAGTACCTGAGTCACATCCTGGATCCCAGCTGCCGTCAAAAGCTGCAAATCCGGCCCCAGATGCCAGGATGAATTCGCCGTTCAGCGGAAGGTACTAAACAAAGGGATTCAGAGCATCACTGTGCCGGCCACCCAGGCTCGTAATCAAATAACCATGGTAATTATTTGAATGTCTATTATCCCCGCTGTCACCCGGGCACTTCGCAGTCATTAGGAGTCACCCTCACTGTGACCTGTGTAAAGGGAAAACATCATCTCTTTTCTTACAGAGAGGGACGCTGTGATGGGGAAAGGCAGTTCCGCTTTATCTTATAGTCACACAAAACCATGAACTGTTCAGGGGAAAAAGAAAAAAAAAAACAGGAGAAAAACAAAAATAAGCCCTTTTGACAACTTCTTAGGTACGTAGGTTCCCAGTCACCTTTGGAATGGACCCTGGAAGCAGACTGGGACAGCCAGGCCACCTCCACCCCCAAGCAAGGCTGGGGTTGAGCCTGCTCCAACCTGCATTTTGATAGCAGAGGTCAATATGAGTGTGTTTATTAAATGATGCCCTTATCAATTTGCCCAGCTTGGCCCATTAGCACTTGGGAATAGCTTTTACAGCTGTTTACCATGCTGTTTAGCATGTCTCACCACCTTGATGCCTGCCTGCCACACCACACGGACAGCACTTACGCACAGGATCCAGCAAGGTTCAACGAGATGTCAGCTAGTGAATTTGCAGGTGGAGCAAGCTAAGGAAAACACACAGTGGCATTTGATGAGCTGCGCTACCACAGCAAGAGTGGCTCTGTAAGACATCAGTGCCAGTGCCACATCTACCTGGCTTGAGCCAGGCAAGGCACCTCCTCGTGGCCACAGGGCAACCTTGCCTAGCTCAGGGTGCACAGTGCTCTGGCTTGCTCTACATCTGAGCACCAGCCCACTGAAGGGTGGTAAGTGGCTGGGTCACCAGCCAGTACTGCCAGCTGCAGGGCATGTTTTAGCAAACAGCCGAGTTGGGCAACTCATTCATAACACAGGCTTATTCAGCCCAGCTCTTATTTTCCATTTACCAATTACTCAAGAAAAAGTTGGGGTTTTCCCCAGTATTTTCATGTGTCAAAGAGTGAGTAATGTTCAAAACTCTGTTCCCCTTCTAACTCAGTCTATCTAGGGTTTTTTTAGCCTCACTCTTCAGACAGTAGCTGGAAGCCCTCCAGGACCATGTTATGCCCACACAGAGTTCTGCAGACAGGGAGAAGTATTAGGCTGGATTTTACGGTTTCGTCTACCTGACCAGTCTTTAAATATGCATGTAGACAAGAAAGACTTAAGGAATGACTGTCACACATGGGTGATGATAGCTCTCTGTCCTTGGGGTAGTCTTGCCTGAGGATGCTCCAGTCCATACAGGGACCATCTCTTTTGAGATATTCAACAAGACAAAAAGAAAGATCCTCATCCCCAAGCAACCATTTCACATTCTTTGTGCCTTGATGTTGTACTGCTTTGAAGTCCATACCCCAGTTCATTCTCTTGCTTCAGAAATAATGACCAACCAGAACAGAGAATAGACAGCAGCTGTCTCCAAGAAGCAATGGCTTTGCTTCTATGTTTCAGATCCAGCAGCACTGCACATGGCTCTGGTCTAGACAAAAGGTCATGAAAAGGGGAGGAAGTGAGGCCTGGGCACCATCTGCCCCAAGGGAATGGAGTCCCCCACCAACAGTAGATTAAAGAAGCCTTTGCCTTTGCGACATGAGTTTAAAGTGTAGTGCCCAATTGGAAACCGAACCATCATGCTCACCAGAATTTCTGCTATTTCCCTCAAGTAAGGAAAATTCTTCCAAAACAGAAGCATTGAAAGAGGCTGAAAAGTCTGCTAGGATAAGAATGACAAAGTGTTCTTTATAAAAAGAACATACAGGAACATTAATGAGGCTTGGGACTTGGCCTGCCAGGCAAGAACTATGTTACCAGCTTCATACATGAGATCCTTCATTTCAGAGATGCTCCAGCTTGTGTTCCTCCAAGCTCCCTGGGAACAGGCAGCTGGACACTTTTGTTTGATACACACACACATTTATTTGATGTACTTGATGGTTTTTGCCAGCATACGATAACAGACCTTCACAGCAAACAACTCTGAGCCCCCAGGCCTGTAGCTGCAGAGATCCTTGTGAGAGAGAAAGAAGAAGCAGAGAGCAGCTACTGGTGACAGGGATGAATGACACACCAGGTCCATGACTAGCTGGCCCTATGTCTTCCCAGTCTTTGGAAGCTGGCATTCACGACTACTGTGGCAGATCGAGAGCACGGGGTTGTTAAATCCCTGCCCTCATCTCTGCCTGGATCTCTCTCCCCAGCAGATCTACCAAGCATCTTGACTGTGGTTGCAGATCTGGACGTCCCAGGCACCCTGAGGTGGTCATGAGGGACGCAATGAAATTTCCTGAGGAGAGGGTTGTTTATTCAGAGCTTAAAAAGAAAAGAAAAAAGCCACGAAAACAACACTTAGACAAACAGGAACCTGTGTTTGTAAGCTACATCAGTCACCCTTCTCCAGGGAGCAACACAAGAGCACTTTGTGCATGCATTATAAGCAAGGAAAAAATGGGAAGAATTCCCGCTTGTTCACATGGCTTAGAAAGACGGCTATAGAGATTTGGTGGAGTTCAGTGTGGGGAGAGGGAGGATGAGGCAGGTTTTGTTGATTAAACACACACACAATATGCAAAAGCCAATCCAAAGACCAACCACAACCTCCTGGGCCTACAAGGGTCTAGAGGGACCTGGATGGGCAGGATACACAGGGTTAGCAGCACACGTGGCAGAAGAGGCAGAAGAAAAGGTCTCTTAGCCTCTCCCTGAACCTGCCCCACATGTTCAGCACTGATGTTTCCAGCTTGCTGGGGTCTGGGTACACTGCCTGGAGAAGATGTGGCTATTCCAGCTAATGTTGGAGATATCCCTCCACCACAGAGGCCTACAACTTAGTAAGACTGGGGTTTCCTAACCAAGGAACACATCCACATCCCACCTAATGCAAGTTGTCCCCCCAGCACACACATACCCTCCCAGTCACCGACCGGTTCATACAGGACTCCAGACCACACACCATCAGGTGTTCGCAGGTTCACAGGGACTCACAGGTGGTTCACAGAGACTGCCCCCAAACTACACACCAGCCCTGGAACTGAAACTGCAAGCGGCCAAGCTGGCATAAGGAGTCACCAAATGCGCAGCAGCAGAAATGCGAGAGGAGCTCCACAGGGCTTCATGAGGAAGGTCTCCCTGTGCCAGCACCTGCAGCTGAACCCCCATCGAGTGTTGCATTCACCCCCCGTTCCCACAGGCAGGCAGGGGCATCATGTACTGGTCTGAAATGGAGCTGAACAGAAGTGCCTCAGTGGACCAGGAGGTGTTAGTTTGCAAATGGTTTGCCCTGATATTTCTTTTCCTAACATAGCAGAGAGTTTAGCATCGCAGCTCACTGCAGAGGACAAACGGAGACTCTGGTTGGGAAAGTGGTTTTCTGCAGTTGCTAGTTTAGTATAGAAATCACATATAGGCTGGGACACTTTCCAAGAACATTTTGAACTGAGCAATGACATGTACCAAAGGATCAGAGCCAAAACGCTGGCAGTTTCATGTGCTTTCTCTTGCTCCTGCCAACCTGTACTCCAGGGTCATTAATACAGCAAACTACTTAGAGTCCCATTAGTCATTTCCCATCCCTGATACTGGTAAATGACTTAGCTCCTTGGTCTTCATTAGCAAATGTAACGACAACTGAACCACAGTCACATTTTTTCTCACTAAAGCCATCAGAAAAAAAAGAAGGGAGGAAGGCCACACGTGGCGCTCGTCAGTCATACCGCATTGTCAACCTGGCAGCGCAGCCCTGGGCCAGCCCGGGACACCCAACAAGTCCCGAGACATCCTCGAGGGAAAACTAAACTGCCTTGCTGAGATGAAAGAGAAAAGGGGAAAAGAAGTGACAGGCCGGCTGAGACTCACATTCTGAGGCTACAGTTCTTTCCCATTTAATGCCCAGCAGCTGTTCTGTGCTTGGGACAAGGCCTGGCTTTGGGAGCGTGCAGCTTTGAATCAGCTTCCGAATAAGGAGCGCTGGCCAGAGTTTCATCTGTGCCAGAAAAAATAGGCAAAGCCTCCCTCCTGGCTCCGGCGGAGCGGGACCGGCGGCAGCGGACGACTCCTCCGGCAGCAGCCGCAGGGTGGCCCGT